ATGCACACACTCACACCTAAGGAGAATTTAGAGAAACCTGATATTTTTCCTTCTCAATAAAAAAATAAATTCCTCAGCCATATTTAATTTCCTGAACTCTCTACTGACTTTCAGTTTATCTTTCTTTCTCTTAAATCTGAGCTGTGGTAAACATAATAAAAAAGTTATACTAATTCCGTATTGAAGAGGTTTTCAGCCTGACTAGCTGCTTCTACATCCCTAGGTGTAGGAGGGACATCAGTCCCCTCTTACCCGCTTATATATGAAGGATCCTGGTTGTAGTGGGGTTTTAGCGAGCTTTAGGCAAACACTGAATATTTTAATTCTGGTGATTATTTGTGCTGCATGTCTCTGCACACAGGGTTAATTTGAATAAAAATAGGGTGCGTAACATTGGTTGGGCTGAAAATGGCATATTTGCTGTTCCATGCGCCCTAATGCAAGCCTGGTTAAAAGCCTTAGAATGAAACAACAGGTTTTCTTCCTTTTAAGGCATGCTCAGGAGTATTTAGATGAGCTGTGCGCTGATTGGTTGGTTTACAATGAGCGAAGCTGCTGAGCAAAGACGCATAATAGCAACAAGCAATCTCTCACTGTAACATCAAATTGTTGATATGTTAGGGTGACCAGACATCCTCTTTTTCCTGGACATGTCCTAATATTCATACATAAAATAATGTCCGGGGGGAATTTCAAAATCGTCTGTGATTTTGGTCGACTACAGCCCTTGCTTATTTTCAATAGAGAAGCTGCCTGCTTTGTAATTATTGTAGAAGTAAACAAACCGTATATATATTTCGGGGTGTGACAAAAGTACAGGCCAGAACCAAACAAGGCACCACCCCGAGTTTACGTCAACTCAGGGCTTCGTTTGGATTCGTTTTATGGTGGAAGTTTGTAATTGTGAGATTTGCATAGAAAGGAGGTGTTGATGGGGTTTGAACTTCTCTGTACGTCTATTTCACCCACTTAACTGTTGTTATCATCTATGAAAATGTAAATTCGGTTTTGCATTCTGTATCCTTTCAAAGTTTGAGCTCTTTGAGCAACAAAGTTCAAAATCTTTTATGTTTGCAAATAATGTAAAGTTTATTCAGTGTTGTGGACAAACAGTTGTATTATTTATGATCATACAAATAATAACCTTTCATTCTATCATAATTCTATCATTCTATTTCATAATTCTATGTGTCCATACTCAGTGTTTCCTTTGATATAGACAATTTTGTTTTTCAGTGATAATATACATCATTTGCTACATCCAAACAACTTTTGATATTCATTTTAATCAAAATTAGATATCATTTTAAGTAGGATCATCCTGCTAAGAAGTATGGAAAAAAAGCAGCATGAATACCGCTGAAATAGGAAAAAGGTCGGTAAGATTAACTGATGCTGAAATATTAAAACTGGTCAAATAAGGATGGAAAAAACAAAGGCATGGGATAAACTAAAGCAATGCATAAATACAGGTAATCACAGAAGAAATTATCAAAAAACAATATACAGAAATAAAACAATGATGTGTGGCATTATTTCAGCAAAGAAGAAGGATCCTACAAATCCTGCATTGTGATGTGAGTGAGCTCTAACTTTTTTTTTTGTTAGTTATTTTTTTAATCATACTTTGGTTTATTTATGATTGTAGCCTACAAGGAAAATGCTGTGGGCTACATTGATAATTGGCAATATTTTTGGGGGAAACTTTGTCTGATTTGGAGAGGCAGCATCCATTCCACTTTGGATGGTGCAGCTCTTATTTCTAGGAATCTGGCCAAATGAATTAGTCCTATAAAACCCTAACACCCCAGGGTGCAGACTAGGATGTAGAGTCATAGTTTAACACTCCTCTCTGCAGCTTTTCTACTGCTACCTACTCATTACTCCATCCAGACAATGTCTTTCCCACGACCAAAATCAAATAAATTAGAAAAGAATATTTAAGGAGTAAATCATGATAATCTAATAATAAAAATAACTCAAATTGGGGAAAAAGTTAAATCTATTAAATGTGGTTTGTGTAACATAAGATTCTTCAAAATGTCTGCTAGTTAATGACTTGATTTGTGATAATGAAATTGATTTATGTTTTTTACAGAAACCTGGCTACAGCAAGAGGATTATGTGAACATAAATGAGGCAACACCCTCTAGTCATTTAAAATTTCACATACCCAGAAATTCTGGGTTAGGAGGAGGAGTAGCACAAATCTTTCAATCTGACCTACTGATTAGTCCGAAGTCTGTTAGTAGTTACAACTTTTTTGAACATTTGACCCTTAGTTTCCCTCATCCAAATTGCAAAGCCACAAAACATCTTCCTTTGGAACTTTGTATTGTCCACCACGTCCTTACTCTGAATTTTTAGATCAGAGTTTTCAGAATTCCTATCTGATTTAATGTTAAATACCGACAAGGTCATCATACTGGGGGATTTTAACATCCATGCTGACATCGAAGGTGATAGCTTAAATGCAGCCTTTAATTCTCTTTGACTAGATTGGCTTTGTTCAAAATGTGAATAGTCTCGCACATTCTCATCTTCATATTATGGACCTTGTGCTGTCATATTAAATGTGATGGAATAACAGTACCTATTTCCTTACGCCCCAGTAGCCTTTGGAACCAGTCTGAACTTTGAACCAGTCTGACTGGATGATCTGGTTGAATGTCTCTGAAAAGTGCCTTGAGATGTCATGTGTTGTGAAATGGTTCTATATAAATGAACAGAATTGAGTTTTAATAGCCTAGAAACATAGTTATTTTAGCAAAGGCTTAGTGATGTTCCAAAATGTTCCCTTTATTAATTGAACTCGGCATGAAATTTTGTTATTTTTAAAAAAAAGCATCTTTGATCTTTTTTTTTAGTAATCTCTACAAATTGAACCCATCATCCCTGCAAGTCTGGATTAATATGTGAATAGTACCGGATTGCATTTTATGTAGAGAGATGATGGAAGCTTTGTGATGCAACACAGGCGAAGACTAACAGCATGTTACACAACAATTCAGAGTGAAATGAAATATTCAAAAGCAAAACTTTGTGTTTCTTGATATTTTGGACCAATTTAGCAGCATGCAGCTGCTTTCTGGCAGATTTCCTTTTTTACCCTCACAGTACTTTTCGGTGATGCAAGACAATGATATCTGGAAAATATATTTTACCAGCAGAATTTTGTTAATAAATTTATATTATGACAGATTTTATTGTTGCTTGTCTGTCCAGCATCAGCACTCCAACGTCAGAAGGAACTCATCTCTTTCCACCTCTATTTGTCTTAGAATAAACTCTGAGTTAAGGCAGATAAAGTGAATTTATGCAACCTACATTCAGTGTCTTTAAATCCCTTTTCAAGGTGAAGGTGCATCGTCACACCATTATTGTCTATTGTCCTCACTCTGTAGGTGCTGAGAAAATTATGCTTGTTGCCCTGTCCCAAACATTTGTTTTGAGCTCTTAAAATATAAAATAAATATGTTTATTTGGTTTTCTCATCTGCTTTGTTTTATGAAAAGCATAGCCCTCTGCTATTATGAAGAACACTGTGAACATTTTGAAACGAAGTGTACATTGTAAATTGAAAGGGTGTTACCTTAGTCAGAGTACTTTTTTTTTTGACACAACACTGCCCTCTAGTGAACGTTAACCAAATATCTATGCAATTGTGGAAGATAAATTTAAGAGTAAGATATCTACAGATATTAAATATAACATTAGTGCTGAAAACAAACATCTGTTAATTTTGAAATATATATATATATTCTGAGACTTTCTCATGGACTTTATACTACTAAAGCCACTGTTCTAACTAAAACAATCATATATATATGAAGTTCCATAACCATAAGGTGTATACCCAATAACTAAATTTCAAGGTAAATACAACTAGGGTTATGCTCACCTTTTCTTTTTTTATTGGTTTTGTTTTCTTAAATACAGCATGAACCTAACATTTGACTGAGGTGTGTACACTGTTTTTCTACGCAGATCAATTACAAGATAAAAATCCAGGGTTTTTCTTCCTCTTGATCTTCATTTCACTACTACTATTTTTTGTCATTATTAGGGACTGATTAAGCTATTTTAATGCAGATGCAGAAAATTAACAGTCTATTCAGGGCTACTGTTTTAAGCCAATATTGCTTTTTCTAGCTCAATTTACATGATACAGATGACAGAATCAGAATCAGGAATACTTTAATAATCCCAGAGGAAAATTACTTTTGTTACACGCTCCAGTTACAGTTTTATATATATATATATATATATATATATATA